GGCTTGTTGCATGTGCCCGCCCCCTTGGGCTCTTTCCTGACGGAGTTCCGCTCCTGTGCGCTCCTGCAGGAAATGACCCCTGGGTGCATGTACGGCGCTGGGCCCATCTCTCAGCGGAGACAAATTCAAAGTCCTGCACTAAGTCCTGTGCAGGTAATATACCTGGTAGGTGCTCAGCTTGGCAGGGTGAAAAAGATCTGGGCCGTCGATCGCAAGTGGAATGTGAGCCAGTGGCGTGACGTACGGCGCTGGGCCCATCTCTCAGCGGAGACAAATTCAAAGTCCTGCACTAAGTCCTGTGCAGGTAATATACCTGGTAGGTGCTCAGCTTGGCAGGGTGAAAAAGATCTGGGCCGTCGATCGCAAGTGGAATGTGAGCCAGTGGCGTGATGCCACTGCAAAAGAGGCAAATGCCATTTCAGGCGGCCTTAAGAGACGTGCACGATCCGAGTCACAGGAAGTAATGAGTTCCACCTTGTGCTGGTCAGGCCTCTTGTGGAGTCTTGTGTCCAGTCCTAAGACGGAAGCAGGCAAATGAGAGCAGGTTCAGCGGCGGGCGGTGAAGACAGTCAGAGTCTGGGAAACAAGTTCTGCAAGGAGAGATTGGATGGACTGGGTGTGGGAAGAGGAGGAGGCGTTTCTGTTCTTCCGACGCCCGGATGACTCAAGTGAACAAACAGTTCCTCTCTGCTGCTTTGCAGGGCAAACAATGAAGAAAACAGCCATGATGTATAATGAAAATATATATTTGGACTGCTGTTTTGCAGTCTCACGAGCACGTAAAGAATTTGTTTCATTGAAGAGGGAAGAATGTTTTGTGTTAACGTTCACAGATTAGAATTGTTGATGTGTAAACCAATGTTAAAAGGGAGCTGCGGTGGCTCAAGTGGTGAAGACGCTGAACTGCAGGCTGTGGAAGGTCGGTAGTTCAGCAGTTCGAGACCCGAGTTGCCGCATGATGGAGTGAGCTCCCGTCTCTAGTTCCAGCTCCTGCCAACCTGGCAGTTCGAAA